GCAGGGCTGTCGGCTGTGTAGTCTGCTGTCTCTGTGGCTGGGACTGACTGTACATTGGAGGAGAAGTGAAGAGGCAGCCCTTCATTCAGATGCATCTTTCTCAGTGAAGAACTTGGAGCTACAGGCCCTGTGTGGCTAGGACCCCAGGGTCCAGGTCCTGTGGATCACGGCTGCCTTTGCCTCCCTGCAGCTTGCATGGGGCTGCCGTCTGGCCTCAGGGAGCCTGAGTGGCCCTTGCCAGTGGAGTGTGGCTTGCAGCGGCTGGCTCGCCAGGGCGAGGCAGAGGCTCAGGAGCATCCACGTGGCACACCCGCCTAAGTGTGCATTCTCTTCATTCCCTGTAGGGCCTGGTGCAGTGCCCAAGTGTACTGGGTGCAGGTAGAGATACAGAGGATGAAAGGCAGCAGAGTACTGGGAGACGCTGGCTGGCCGGTAGCCCAGGGTGAGAGTGTGGGCTGCGAGAGGGGGCCTGCCCAGAGATGGGGGCCAAGGCCCAGCGAGAGGCCCAGAGACAGGGCCCCCTGCTCAGTATCTTGGAATTTATCTCACATGAAGGGGAACCAGCAAGGTTTTAAAAGGAGGAAGCAGACATGATTTGGACTGTTGTCATTGTTTTAGGAAAATCAACTCTGAAAGTAACGAAAAGAGTGGTGAACATGGGGAATGGAGGCATGGGCAGGAAACCTGTGGGAGGTGGATGCAGCAGGCGGGGCCGGCTGGGGACCTGGGTCTGAGCGTCCAGAGGGGATGGGCTGGGTCTAGAGCCCCTTGGAAAGCAGAGTGGACAGGACTTGGGGACAGGTTGGATGCTGAGAACTCAGAAGTGACTTGGTGGTGTCTAGTTGAGTAACTGGGTATGTGACGGCTCTAAAGCTGAGGTAGGGAGGAGAGGAGGAGGTCTGGGGTGAGGAGGAGACAGATGATGACTTGGTAACTGCAGTATGTACACACACCCACAGAAGACTGCCCTCAGCTGTAAAAAATCAAGCGTAGTTGAGCCCAGGAGTTCTGGGCTGTAGTGCGCTATGTCAATCGCGTGTCCGCACTAAGTTCGGCATCAATATGGTGACCTCCTGGGAGCGGGGAACCACCAGGTTGCCTAAGGAGGGTGAACCAGCCCATGTTGGAAACAGAGCAGGTCGAAACTCCCGTGCTGATCAGTAGTGGGCTCGCACCTGAGAATAGCCACTGCACTCCAGCCTGGGCAACGTAGCGAGACCCCTCTTAAAAAAAAAAATCTGGAGTCTGGAGCACAAACCCACTTTTCTGACTCCTCTAGGGACTTTAGTCACAAACAAGGGGCTTTTAAGTGGCCTATCAACAGATAGGTTCTCGGAGGAGCCGTACTTACCGTTTCAGAGGCACCTGGCGGTTCTGGGGGCTGCTAAACAGAGAGTAGACTTCACGGTTAACTCAGATTCAAAGTATCCCTACCCCTGAGGGCCCCAGGAAACCTGGGAGAGGCTGGACCGTGTAACCATGAAGAGGTTAGGTTCAGATCTTGGGTCTTCTATTCACCAGCCAAGACCTTAGTCAAGTCATTTGACCTGAGTGTTTGTTCCTTTGTTTAGAAATTGGGCCTCCTTATGGCAGTTTGTGAGGCTGTCATGTCCAGACACATAACACAAGGCCTGGCATATTTTAAACAATAAATAATTAGCAACTGTGGTAGCTCTTGTTATTTTTTAGAGAGGGAGTCTCGCTCTGTTGCCCAGGCTGGAATATAGTAGCTATTCACAGACATGATCATAGCGTACTGCAGCCTCAAACTCTTGGGCTTAAGTGATCCTCTTGTTTCAACCTCTCAAGTAGCTGGGATGACAGATGTGTGCCACCCTGCCCAGTTGTTATTATTGGTGGCTGTGCTTAGGCATACTTCAGGCCTGGGGATATATATATATTGGGTTTTAAATATGTTCATATCCTCTGTGACCGTGGAAAAGTGAAGCCTAATTTTAAGTGCTATATTTTCATGGGAATAAACAAGAATGAAGCTCCCATGGTTATTGGGAGATCGTGGCTGTTCATTCATTCATTCATTCATTCAGTGACAGTTGAAGCTATCCCAAAGTGTTCATGGGCTAATAGGAGAGACTAACATGAAAACATGTAACTATGGAAAAATAATAGTGGCATTATGGGTTGGGCATGGTGGCTCACGCCTGTAATCTCAACACTTTAGGTGGCTGAGGAAGGTGGATCACTTGAGGTCAGGAGTTTGAGACCAGCCTGGCCAACATGACAAAACCCCATCTCTACTAAAAATATAAAAAATTAGCTGTGTATGGTGGCAGGTACCTGTAATTCCAGCTACTCAGAAGGCTGAGGCAGGAGAATCACTTGAACCTGGGAGGCAGAAGGTTGCAGTGAGCTAAGATTGAGCCACTGCACTCTAGCCTGGGCAAAAGAGTGTAACCCTTTCTCCAAAAAAAGCAGTGGCATTATAAGGTTCCTGGGTAACTAGGGGAAAGGGGGAAGTGGAGTTGCCCCCAGCTAGAGGGAGGAGAAGGGAAGAAAGGCTAGACCGTGAGTAGGAGTGTATTCGTGGACAGGCCAAACCATGGGAGCAGTTTGCTGGGTGGCCAAGGAAACGGGTGTTCCTGTTGATGAAGGTGACCAGTGGAAGCCCTGGGGCCTGACTCAGGTGGGGGATGAAGAAGAGCCCAGTGAGGCTGGAGAGGTGGCCTCCTTAGATGCCATTCCAGAGAGAGCCACTGGAAGGTTTAAGGTGGAGGGTGCAGTGGTCAGACTTGCACTTACAGAACACTTCCTTTGGTAGGTGCATGAGGAATGTTCCAGAGACAGCAGGCCCTTCGGCTAGCAGTGGGCGGAACTGAAGGGGGAATTGGATGCTGGAGAGAGTAACAGAATCAAGATGTAGAAGGGGTCATGTCAGCAGGGCGTGGTGACTCATTGGACTGTGGGGAGCAGAGAGAGGGTGAGGTCACCAGGTCTCTGGTTGCTCCACCAGCAAGAAGCGGGCCGGGCCTTCTGGGCTCGGGACGGTTGAGTTAGAGGTGCCTTGGAGAAGCCAGTCCCAATCGTCTGGCAGACAGCTGGATCAAGGGAGAGGTCTGGGAGGTACCAGAAGGGTTGAGGGTCCAGAGAGAGGGCCTGTGGAGTGAGGGAAGCCCTGGGGCGGCAGCTGGGCCTCACTGTCCCTGTGGTCTCTGAACTGAGCCCCATTGAAACTGGAGGAGCCCCCAGCCTGGAGCTCAGAAGGCAGACTCCTTCCTAGAGATCCAGGCAGGCCTTGCAAGTTTCATTTTGTTTTGTTTGGCCAGGTTACATAAACAGAATAGGGAGACCTTCAGATCGTTGTGACTTCTGTCGGGAGGAGGCTCAGCAGGCTGAGGGAATCCAGAGCTGCCGGGAGAGGCTTGGCTGGGGAGGGGAAGTCCTCCAGTTATCTTGGACAATCAGTCCTTGGGGGCCTGAGACCTGGCTGGCTCTTTGTATCTGGTTATCTCGCCTGGCTGGCAGGAGACGGTGTTGGCTGATCGGAGGGAGCTGACAGGCCTCTGGACTAGATCCGAGACAGGGATGCCCTCCCCTGCGTGGTCCCTCCTCTTCTGTAGGGTGGGCTGAGGCTTGGACCAAGGACCCATGGGGCAAGCAGGGAAGGTCAGGGAGTAAAGTGAGCTGGAAGCCGGGGTTGGCAGATGAAACACAAGGGGTTATTTTTCTCATCTGGAAGTGTCCTCCTCCCAGGAGTTAGTCCACTTCTTATTTTCCCATTTCTCATAAAGAACATGGGCACTGAGAAACATTTTCCAGTCATAGTGCTGGGGGTGGCAGGATGTGGGGGCTGTGGCCGGCACCTGAAAAGGGGCAGCGCCACCTCAGCCCATCGCTGCCACGAGGGAATGCAGGGCCAGTGTCACTGGATGGTTAGTTTCAAGGAGAATCTAGGAATCCAGATTTAATGGGAAATCTCCCAATTGGCGTAAATTTTTAAATAAGCACTGCAGGCCAAGTGAAGTCTGCTTGTGTCCCGGACGAGGCCTCTGGGCTGTGGTTGGCGCTCTCTGGGCTAGCCCGGCCTCTCTGACGTCCTTTCTAGCCATGGCACACTGCAAGTTATCACCCGGAGGAGGAGAGGACACTAGACAGGAGCACACTGAGCCTGTTCCAGATTCTTCTCTGACAGGAGCCCAAGTGGCCTGGGCCAGGCTGTGTCCCTTCCCTGGAGTCTCCCTTCCTTATCAGCATAATAAAGGCCAGGCTGGATCTGTGGGTTTGAACCTTCTGTTCCTTAGCAGCAGAACTTTGTTTCATTTGAATCTTGCAAGGGACAAATCACAGTATATGAAATAGACTGAAAATCAGAGCTGCTCGGAGTCGAGTTCTGCCCCGAGGCTGCCTCTGCCCTCCCCCAGAGGCACCTCTGCCAGGCACCACAGAACACAGTGTGGGACTTAACCTGCTGGCTGGCCCTCCGCACCCCTCCCGGCCCTCGTGTTCTGTGGGTTCAATGGGAGGACAGAATGGCGGCCAGAGGAGAGCAAGCCACGATGGGGCTGCCCCACAGCCTGCTCCTTGCCCACATTTTGTCCAGTCCCTGGCAGGGGGTGGTGAGCAGCCAGCCACTGGGTGCAGCTGCCACTTCCTGGGTGCTTTCCATGTAGTTTTCCTCCTCACATCAGCCCTGTAAGGTGTGCGTGGCTATTTCCATTTCGCAGGTGAGTAAACCAAGACACGGAAAGGGAAAGTGAGTTTCCCACAAGGTCAGGCGGCTGGAAAAGGAAGGGTCCCAGGTTCTGCCTAGGCATCTGAGACCCCACAAGCTGCCCCCTTCCCATGGGGCCTCCTTTATTCTTCACACAGAGCCACGATGCTCCCGGAGCAGTCCCACATGCATGCGGAAGCCAGGTCCTGGCAATGACGATGCCATCTCTCGTGTTTCTGTGGCATGCTTCTCTGCTTTCAGACTTGATCTCCTTTTGCTGGTGTCAAGCTTGATCCATCTAAGCAGGACTTTCCTTTTTGTCACCACACAGGAGGCTGAACCATCTGAGCCCAGAAGTGCTGAGGTGACGAGGAAGCCCAAGACTACTGTTCCTTCTGTGAACAAGAGGCCCAAGAAAGAGACCAAGAAGAAGCGGTAGAAGAGGAGGCCCGAGGGGCTGGGCAGGCAGGGAGAGGGCCTTCGGGACAGCCCTCCTGGGAATCTCCATCCTGTTCCCCCCTCCGTCCCAGGCTCAGGGTCTGAGGAGGCCGCGACGCCCTCTGACCGCAGAGATCTAAACAGTCATGACAGTCCCTAGGCTCCAGCTGGGCAGTCTACCACTTCCTCTTCCTTCTACTTCTGTGACGGTTTAGAGTCAAGGGGACCGAAACACACGTGAGCAAAGACTGGATTAGGAGGTTTGTTCAGAAGCCGGGTCAGCTCACAGAGTCACACTTTCTTACTTAGTCATGTGTGCAGCCTTGAGCCACCCCCTCCTTGTGGGTTTACACTACATTTTGGAGTCATTAATGCTGACAAGCACACCCTCTCCCATTATTCGTGCACTACAGATCTCCTGCTAATCAGTCACCTTTGTTGCTGCTGTGTAGACAGAGCCAGGCCTCACCTGTTTGTTTCGACCAAGACACCATGGCCACACAACGTTACTGATCCCCCTAGCTGTGACAGTCCAGGCCTGGAAAATGGCTGATGTGAGAGCCAACAGACGGCCCAGGCCAGGGTAGGCAGGGCCTGCGTCTGCTCGGTCAGGTACAGGCATTCGGCTGAAGGCATGCATAGTTCCTGGGCACAGACTTCCCAAGCCCCTGAAATGGGAAAGAGACCAAGAAAGAGGCTCGTCAATTTCAGACCAACTTCCTTTCTCCACATCATAGCACGTTCAAGGTGTGCCTTCTCCTTCCACCTGTACATCCCCCGTCCTTCAATTCTTCCATTCCCTGACCTGTGAGAGTTCCTGGCGGAAGCGTGGTGAATAAACTGACATGCATGCTGAACCTGCCTGTGCTGTCTTTTGCTGAGGGAGAGGGGAAGCCTAGGGCCCCTCCCTGGAGGTGAGGGAAAGGCTTGCCCCCCAGAGAAGTGGGACAGTGGGGGTGGGGAGGGCCAGAATGGGGTGGCTTTGGTGAGAACAGCTCTGCAGGCTGAGCCATTCTGGAAGAAGTTTTCAGAAAGGGTCTGGCTAAGTGCTTGGTGTGGCCCTTAGTCACTGGAAACACTTGTGAACAGCCATGGGTCTGTGAGAGTTTCCGCTGGGTCCCCACTCATTCCCCAGGTTCCTTATGAGGAAGATGCTGCTTGTCCTTAAAGTGGCTCGAGAAAAACCAAGTGCAGTACTGTAAAAGGCCTTACATGGCATTGGATGGGTCTAGCCACTTGCCCTGAATCCACTGCTGAGGAAAAGCCCTGGCCCCTTCGTGACTCACATTAGCCCATCTCGTTTACAGCCGCCAGACCACTTGCCCAAATGTCAGGACTGATGAGCATCTTTTTTTTTTTTTTTTTTTTTTTTATGTTGAAAAGATATACATATATTTAGAATTAGCCAGCTGGACTCCATTTAGATGATCCCAATTTTGTTGGCAACATCCAAAGCATCGTAATCAGGAGCCAGTCGAACATATGCCTTCTTCTCTCCATCAGGCCGAATCAGGGTGTTGACCTTGGCCACATCAATGTCATAGAGCTTCTTCACAGCCTGTTTGATCTGGTGCTTGTTGGCTTTAACATCCACAATGAACACAAGTGTGTTGTTGTCTTCTATCTTCTTCATGGCAGACTCAGTGGTCAGCGGAAACTTGATGATAGCATAGTGGTCCAGTTTGTTTCTCCTGGGGGCGCTCTTCCGAGGATATTTGGGCTGCCTCCGGAGTCGCAGTGTCTTGGGCCGCCGGAAGGTGGGTGACGTGCGGATCTTCTTTTTTTTGTGGCTGTGGACACCTTTCAACACTGCTTTCTTGGCCTTTAAAGCCTTCGCTTTGGCTTCGGCTTTAGGCGGGGCAGGAGCTTCCTTCTTCGCTTTCGGCGCCATCTTGCGAAAAGGGACTGATGAGCATCTTAAGCGATGAGCAACTGTCATCTCCATTGTGGAGATGACAGTCCAGACTACTCGAGAGTGTCCACGCTGGGATTTGGACCCAACCTACGGCACATTCCTTGGTGTTTAACATGTATTTAGTGAGTGTTGGTATTCACGTTGCTGTGAGGGTCCTGCTGTGCTGCAGAGGGGCTTGGCAAGATCTAGCAGTTTAGGTTTCAGGAGAGGAAGTCCAGGGGCGGGAGCTTGTGCATAATGAAGGGCCAGTCGTGGCCAGATCCTGGCGCGAGCAGGAGCTACTGCAGAGTGTTTCTGTTTCTCAACACTTAACGAGAGCTTCGGTGCCAGGCACCATGCTAGGAACTGAGGATGCAGAAATAAGGAACCTTTCAGAAACCCAGAGTGCACCTGGCCGAGTGGGAGACTCAGACATGTAAGCAGGTTTGATGTGGGAGAGTGGAAGTGATGGAGCTGAGTCTTAAAGGCTCAGCAGGACTTGAGACCACAGGGAAGTGAGGCTGGGAGAGCAGGGGTGGGACCAGTAATGCAGACATGTTTCAGCTTGTGGAGGAGAGACAGCTTCTGGTTCCCAGGAGCGGTGCTAGCTACCTCAATAGATTCAACTCCCTTACATTCTCCCCCTTAAGGGTGGGGCCAGACAACAGTCCTCAGAAAGCAAGGGCTGTCATCCTCTGCTCCACCGAACCCTTCTTCCACATTTACTATGGGCAGAGTTTGCAGCATTTGGTTCTCTTGGCTTTTGGGACCCATCCTCTCTGGATTTCCCTTCTGCATTGCTGGTTTCTCCTCATGAGAGGGGCCCAGGATCAGTCCCTGGTCCTTTATCCTCTGTTAGTCCCTAGACTTCCTCTCTGCACACACTCCTTTGGAGATCCCATCTAGGCTTGTGGCTTTAAATACCACCTGTATTAGGATTTTCCAGAGAAATATAGAAGGAGACCTTTTTTTTTTTTTTGAGACAGTCTCACTCTATGCCCCAGGCTGGAGGGCAGTGGTGCCACCTCGGCTCACTGCAACCTCCGCCTCCTGGGTTCAAGCTATTCTCCTGCCTCAGCCTCCCAAGTAGCTGGGATTATAGGCACCTGCCACCATGCCCAGCTAATTTTTGTATTTTTAGTAAAGATGAGTTTTCACCATATTGGCCAGGCTGGTCTTGGAACTCCTAACCTTGTGTTCTGCCTGCCTTGACCTCCCAAAATGCTGGGATTACAGGCGTGAGCCAACACACCCGGCCAAGACCTTTTTTTAAAGGTTTTTTTTCTTTTCTTTTCTTTTTTTTTTTTTGAGACGGAGTTTCGCTCTTGTTACCCAGGCTGGAGTGCAATGGCGCGAACGCGGCTCATCGCAACTTCCACCTCCTGAGTTCAGGCAATTCTCCTGCCTCAGCCTCCTGAGTAGCTGGGATTATAGGCACGCGCCACCATGCCCAGCTAATTTTTTGTATTTCTAATAGAGACGGGGTTTCACCATGTTGACCAGGATGGTCTCGATCTCTCGAGCTCGTGATCCACCCGCCTCGGCCTCCCAAAGTGCTGGGATTACAGGCGTGAGCCACCGTGCCCGGCTAAAGTTTTGTTTGTTTGTTTGTTTGTTTTGAGACGGAGTCTCACTCTGTCCCCCAGGCTGGAGTGCAGTGGTGTCATCTCGGCTCACTGCAACGTCCACCTCCTAGGTTCAAGCGGTTCTTCTGCTTCAGCCTCCCAAGTAGCTGGGATTACTGGTGCGTGCCACCACGCCCAGCTAGTTTTTGTATTTTTAGTAGAGATGGGGTTTCACCATGTTGGCCAGGCTGGTCCTGAACACCTGGCCTCAAGTGATCTACCTGCCTCAGCCTCCCAAAGTGCTGAGATTACAGACATGAGCCACTGTGCCCGGTGAGACTTACTGTAAGATTTTGTCTCCAGTGATTATAGAGGCTGAGAAGTCCAACATTGGCTGCTTGCAAGCTGGAAACCCAAGAAAGCCAGTAAAGGGCCGATGCTGTAGATTCTGTCTGAGTCTAAACGCCTGAGAACTTGGGAGTGCTGAGAGCAGAAGACAGATATCCTAGCTCCTGCAGTCAGGCAGTGGGAGGGGAAGCTAACTTTCCTCCGTCTGTTTGTTCTGTTCAGGCCCTTAAATGGGATAAGGCTCACCTGCTTTACTCAGTCCGTAGATTCAAATACTAACCTCTTCCGGAACACAGACACACCCAGAAATACTGTTTAATCAGATACCTGCGCATTTGTGGCCTAGTCAAGTTGATATGTAAAATTAACCATCACACCACTCACATGCCGATGCCTCCCAAACACATCTCTCCAGCCCCTCTCCTAAACTCCAGACTCACATAGCTGGCTTCCTACTCATTATCTCCATTTGAATACCCAACAGGCACTTCAAAGCACATTACTGATCTCACCAGCAGCCCCAAGCCTGCTCTTTTTGTGGTCGTCCCCATCTTAAAGAGCATCTTAAAAAAAACAGTATATATTTAAAGTATACAACTTGCTGATTTAATATATATGTTGTGAAATAATCACAATCAAGCTAAATAAAATGCCCGTCACCTCACATAGGGGTGTGTGTGTGTGTGTGTGTGTGTGTGTGTGTGTGTGTGTCTCGGGCAGTGGGTGAGGTGGGAGTGAGAACACTTAGGATCTTAGAAAATTTTAAGTATATACAGTTGACCCTTGAGCAACATGGGTTTGAAGTATGCCATCCACTTACATACAGCTTGTTTTCAGTCAATACAATTCCTTCATATCCATAAGGCAGATCAAAAATAGTGTTTGGGAAATGTGAAATCCACACATACGGAGGGCTGACTTCCCCGAGAGGCGAGTTTCACGGGGCTGACCTCGGGACTTGATTATGTGTGGACTTTGATATCTGCGGGCGTCCTGAAACAATTTCCAGGCAGATACCCAGGGATGACTGTAGTACAGTATCACTGTCTGTAGTCACCATGCTGCACATTAGATCTCCAGCACGGTTAACCAACAGATTCCCATCACCCACTACCCCCAGCCCTCAGCAACCTCCATTCTACTCTCTGATTCTATGAGTTTGACTATTTTAGATTCTACATACAAGTGAGATCATGCTACGTTCTCACTTTCTCTCTGTGTGTCTGGCTTATTTCACAGGTTATCCATGTTGTTGCAAATGGCAAGATTTCCTTTCTTTCTTTCTTTCTTTCTTTCTTTCTTTTTTTTTTGAGACAGAGTCTTGCTCTGTCACCCAGGGTGGAGTGTAGTGGCATGATCTCAGCTCACTGCAACCTCCGTCTCCTGAGTTCAAGCGATTCTCCTGCCTCAGCCTCCCGAGTAGCTGGGACTACAGGCGCACGCCACCATGCCAGGCTAATTTTTTTTTTTGTCTTTTTAGTAGAAATGGGGTTTCGCCATGTTGGCCAGGCTGGTCTCGTGAGCTCCTGACCTCGTGACCTGCCCGACCCAGCCTCCAAAGTGCTGGGATTACAGGCGTGAGCCAAGATGCCCAGTCTGGATTTCCGATTTTTTTTTTTTTAGGCTTAATAATATTCCATTGCATGTATATGCCATATTTTCTTTATCCATCAATTGACAAACATTTAGGTTGTTTCCATATCTTATCTGTTATGAATAACGCTGCAATAAACATAGGAGTGTAGCATCTCTTTGAGACACTGATTTAATTTCCTTTGGGTAAATACCCAGAAGTGGAATTGTTGGATCATTTGGTAGTTCTATTTTTTTATTTTTTGAGGAGCCTCTATACCATTTTCTATAATGGTTGTACCAATTTACATTCCCACCAGTAGAGTCTCAGGTTTCCAGTTTCTTCATATCTTTGCCAACACTTACCTTTTGTCTTTAAAATAATAGCTGCTCTAATAGGTGTGAGGTGGTATCTCCCGGTTTTGGGGTGCATTGTTTGGTGATGTTGATAACCCTTCCATAGACCGGCTGGCCATTA